GGGGATCCAATCAATTGTCATATACAGTCAGTCATTAAAGTTATAAAATAATAAACTTTCTACATATATAAAGTCAATACTATACTAAGTCAATGTAAAGTATGATCTATTGCACCTCTGACCTGACATCATGTTTTCTTACTACTACTGGCCTTGTTTGTTTTTTTTTCTATCTTCATATATTCGTAATATAACACCGTTATATAAACCCTTTCATTTAACATATAACACGCTCCAATCGGGCCAATAACAAAGGAGATATGATGTAATGTCCTCTTAGCAATGCCTCAATGTGTGTTTTTTCTGTCTCAACACATTCGCGACCCCCTTTATTTTTCAATGATGTATCATACGTCACGATCCGACGAACTATTCTACCCTGTCAACAAAATTCTCAAAAAATGAGCAGAATAAAACTTTACATTTTCTTATACGATTTTAGATGGACAATAAGCAGAAACCGTATAGCAGCGTTTTTGTAGGTATAGCTTTTACTTAATTTTATTTAATTGTTATATAATTCTACGTAATTCTGTTCTTGATTTAATTTAATTCTCTTTACCTTTATTTAATTTTATTTAATCGTATTTAGTTTTATTTTATTTTATTTTATTTTGGTAAAGCATTGACGTTTGTTAAACGTCATTTTATTTTTATAGTAAGTTTATGTTTATCTTACCCAGTGACAGATAAATATATATTTTACGTCCTTGATCTTACCATACAATTACAGTGACCTATATTTTTAACGATTTTCGAAAAAATTAATTACGCTGAAGTTGGCTCGAACAACAGAGCAAAACGAACACTAAAGACGTCTTGCAATCATAGAGGGCAAATACTCACCAGGTTTCCCACTAAGAAAGTTCCGTTTTCTCCAGCAAAATTTCTGCACAACACTGGACATGAACTTAATGATGAGTATTTTGAAATTCTAGAAACATTCCCCATACAATATCGCAGATAAAGTTTGCGCGCCAAAAAACGCTGATAAAGAGCCGTTCCTACTGTATGGCTGGTAACCCCTGAAGTACCTCAACTGGCATGATAGGCAATTCCCACTTCTTCTTGTGGGTTCCTATCGCTCATATTACAAGTCATCTTCTTTTCTCCCTGCTCCTTAGTAGTCTACTACTTCTTAACATCGGGCATATTTTAATTGACGTTTATCACACCCCCACAACTCATTAAAAAAAAGGAGTCACCCATTCCTTGAAGAGGCTCAGGCCTAAACAAGGTTGTGGTTAAAACTCGTGTGTCATGTCCTAGGTGGCGTCGTTACCTTATTGGACAAACACTCTGACCTGTCATCATAGCCTTTTTTATAGATAGATATTGTATATATTATATTGTAGGATATATTTAGTAAAAAAAGTCACAATAAAATATAGGAATAATATATGTTTACACCACAAAATGAAGAAGCTTAATACTTACATTCGATGAAAGTTTCGGAAAGTTTCGACATTTATATGGTTTTATTTTGAAGTTCTAAATAAAATTACAAAAGTTTTTACGAACCGAACGGTCGGAAAACTTTTTTCGTAGGAAGATAAAATAAATTAGTAATATCATTGTTGTTTTGATTCCAGAAATTGAAACTGAGTTTGACAAATAAATAGAGAATACTTATCAGAAGTTTTGTAGTCGTAATAATTGAACATATTATATAAAAAATCATTCAGTTTATTTACGAAAGACATTTAAATATTTAGTGGAAATATATGGATTGCGGAAGGTATAGAATGTAATTTAACTGTAGGCACCAATGTGTAATGTACCGAAAACAGATGTTTTCGTACATTCTAGCTAGTTCAAAGGTTATCAGAAGTAGATTCCATCTTCATCATAAGACACACTGTGAAATGCAAACAAACTAAATAATTCAAAAAGTACGTTGAATAAAATCCAAAAAATATTTAATTTGAATGAAAAATATACTTAAATCATGAATGTGTTGCCTGTGTGAGTCAATTTCAAATACGTAAAAAGAAATAAAATAAGACTTACAATCAATTTAATTTTACCACCAAAACTACCGGTTTCCTATACTACAATTTGCTATGCATCTTCAGGTCTAATTGGTACCAGGTAAATTAAATGCTGAAATTACAAAACCCACATTAGGGTGCTATCTTATAAAGACAGCAATTATGCCAATATTATATGTCTGTGACTAATAATATGAATAAAAATAAAAATTGATGAAGCAGATAAAGTAAAAACCCACAAATTTGTATAAAATAATCTATTGAATTGAAGTACATGTGCCCCAGTATTATCTATCGATGATGAAAAAGCTTTGTGTGTGATTTCCTCTGAAAACTAAAAATATACTGTGGTTTAGTTTATTCTAATAGTTTAGTGTATGGATGACATATAAAATATATTATATAATATAATATTTTGTGGTTCTTGGAGAAGGCCTCATGATGGGTGTTAAAAGATGAAAAAAAAGGCTATTCAGGGCAAAAATTGTAGAAAAATGCATTGGAACAAGAAAGGAAGTGCTAATACAATTTGGAAGAGTAGGACTAGTATTATTAGATGTAGTCATAAGCAGTATATATTTCAAATGGATCACATTTGTTGTCAAAACTCAAAACCGAAATTTCATGCTATTTTGAATATTGGGCTCTAACCATAGAAATTCACTTCACAAAAAAAAAACGCGCAGCGTTTATATTTGTTTAACACCTTTATAAAAAGGCGATTTCATTTGCGGCAACATACAAAAATTGCATACAAAAGTTGTGCTCTTCACCTTTAAATCGCATTTTGATTTTTGTCGATAGAACGCTCTGATTAAAAGGTATCGAATTTTGGCCGTCGAGTTAATACAAATTTTATTTAAAATTAATTTTGCTCGCGTAACTTACATTCAAAATCGCCGGTCGCTTTAAGCGTTGTTTCTGAGACCACAGTTTTGATTCAACACAAAAAGTTCTTATACACATTTTTGCTACATTTTTTATTTGTAACCTTTTTTTATGTGGCGTACAGATTCTTGGTCAATTGATTTTTTGCATTTCCCCCTACGAGGGAGGGTTTAGGGGGAAGCCGGGGGGCACGAGTGTTAAAGTTTTTTGCATATTTTTTGGGGTCCCAAAATTGACGTTCCCTTGTAATTTCTTGTAAAATTTATTGTTAAAAGTTATTATTTATAACTATAATATATAAATATTTAAGTTGCTTATCATTTCATAACCTTTTCTTCTACTAATCTCTCTCTTCAATCCTGACCCCCCAGGGGGAGTGTAGTGGTCGACGTGATGTCGTGTATTGTCCGTCTCCAGAGATCTCTGTCTCTGGTCATTTCTTTTAATTCATGCATAGGTCTTTGGCATATTCCTGTAATTTGATCTATCCATCTTGTTGGGGATCTTCCTCGTGATCTTCGGCCTTCTACATTTCCTTGTATTATGAGTCTTTCCATGTTTTCTGTGTTTGCTCTCATAACATGCCCAAAATATTTTAATTGTTGGAGATGGACTTTACTAGAGAGTCGTTGGCTAACTTTTAGCTCTCTTAAAATTGAATTATTTGTTCTACGGTCGGTCCAAGGAATTCGTAACATTCGTCTCCAACAGAACATTTCAGTGGCGTCTATCTTTCTTCTCTCCGATTGTCTCAGAGTCCAAGATTCACATCCGTATGTCTACTAATAATAAGAGAAAAGTAAAATTTTGCAAAATAAATATATATTTTTTATGAAAATTAATGGGAAAATCCCAGTATTATTAAACCACCGTTTAAAAAACTTATAAAGAAGTTAAAACACTTGACATTTGTATTTAGGCATAAAAAACATATAGTTAAAACTTTTAACCCTATCTGTGTGTGTCTGTGTCGTTTTAACTGACGAAAACCACGTGTTCAAACCGAGCAAGGAGACATGTAGCTCCTCAAGTATTAATTTTTATCCAATGTCATCTACCTAGAGTCACAGTATAATTTAAATTTATAATATCACAGCTACAAATTTAGTATTAGCTTCAATTACATAAGAAGGCACTGAAGATGATCTGATTCGATCGAAAACGTCACGTTATGCTACTGTATAAATGTTGACGACACTTTTTAAAAGTTATAATTATATGTTTTTTATACCTAAATTCAAATGTTAAGTGTTTTAACTTCTGTATAAGCTTTTTTATATATTTTTTAATTATTTAAACAAGTTAATCGGCTAAATAAATATTTTCCAAATTAACTAAATGCATTTTGATGATTTATGTAATGAGGTACCTCAAATTAAACAAATGACATCAATTTTCGTTGATTATAGCCGGAGATATTGCGACTTTTATAAATTTGAATTTATGAATTTTATAGTTTTTGAAATAGTATCTTTGGCGCAACATGGACGGCTCATTTTTAAACGAATCTTTCTTAAATTTTTAAAGAAATTGTTCTTAAACTACCTGAATTTTTGAGAAAAAAAAAGGTTATTCAGGTTTAAAGGGTCGTAGGACATTATGCTTTATTTTGAATTCGTGTAAAAATGACAATATGACAAATAAAAAAAATTAACTTTCTACACATTATTGAGTCGGAGTTATTTTAATTGTTTATGAATTTAAACTTACAGTACTTCTGCAAACCAACCTGTATACGAGTAGTAAATTACCTTAAAGTAAACACTTTAATTTCTTTGTAACTCTTTAAAATCGTTATAGCAAGTTTATTGACGCTTTCCGAAGAATTTAAGCATTGCTAAAACTGTTTTCTAATAAAAATCAAAGATTATCCATTGCAATCAAATTTGATAAGTTAATACCAAAATCGTACAATTATTGAACGTTTTAAGGCCAATCAGCACAAATTTTTTGTAACAATAAATGTAGTTATGTCCTTAATTTATTATTAATGAATTTCATGTAATAAAATTTTACCATTAACCGTAAATTACGGTATATTTCATACTTTCTTTTATGTAATAAAATAAATTCTTTTAACCAGTTAACGTAAATTACAGTATATTTCATTTTTTGTTTCAGTGCTGAAAGACGAACCAGAAGACCTAACTCATTTGGCTCCAGTAGCGGGAGACGTGTGCGTTCCTCTGGAAGATCACATATTTCTTCCAGACATGCTAGACGATATTCTTTTAAAGGATAATTTTGGACCTTTGTTAACAGAAGAACCGTCTGATCCATTTATTGCATATAGAGACTTCCAAGACACGTCCCCGCAATTGTTATCACCGAATCTATCGAAAGTAAGTAAAGTGGTCTGATAAAAAACTTGTTTTGGTTATTTGCCTTAATAATATATAGTTTAACGATCGTTTTAAGTATATTGTGTGACCTTAATAGTTTGGATATTTAGTTGTTTGAAACTTGTTATTTTAGTGTCTTACTTTTCATGAGAATAGAATCACATTTATTGATTATTTATTTAGCATATATGGCACAAGACATGGTAAGTTTACATTACATATAAAAATGGGAAACAAATTCAGTTATTGTGTTTATAACATTGGCGGTTTCCTAGATGGAAGACAGTTTATTGGCAGATACAGCATATCCTCATGGATGGGGAGTTGTGTATTACTAATTATTTTTATATGTTTTTTGAGTGTTGGGAGCCAATAAGATGCATCCACTAATCGTTCTCACATTGCCATAAGCTGAGTGTCCACTTCATTTGTATGTCACTGTTTTTCCATACCGGTGCACAATACTCAGCCACAGAATACACCAGAATAATTCCAGATGTTCGCAATGTATCGGCTGATGCTTCTCAGCTAGTGATATACGTAATTAAGGTTAATTCTGGTAATTAATTTTGAGCTGTTTTCTGAGATTTTGAGATCTTTTTGAATCAAAGAGTTTTGTCTTCGATTACCCCAACAGATTTTATATACCGTTGATACGGTAGCACTGTGTTATTCATTTGGATCTCTAATTCGTAGTTTGTCTCATTGTTGTTGAAAAGGTGGAAGCAGCTGACTTCAGTTTTATTCAGGTTTTTTATTAACCGCCACTTGGTGAAATATTTTTACAATTTGTTGAGTTCTTTGATCAGTGTGTTTTGGGTAGATTCAAACTGTGCGTGTTGCACAGCTAAGGCTAAATCATCAGAATATCCAAACTTTCTAGTGTTGGTTTTAGGCAGACTGTGATATATAAATTTGTTAAGTCTTTAATAATTTTAATTTATTGTCTTTATTATTTATTAAAGGTTCTATACTTATAACACTCACAAATTTATTAAAGTCTTTATTACTACTAATTTATTTTACACTTAATAATTATATAATTTATCTACATTTATAATGCGTGCGTTACAATTCAAACGCGATCGCGATTTATCTTCTCTGACTCGTCTCCCACAATGAAAATCCCGTTATTTATATCCAAATACATTTATTCGAGAGTTCAGGCGATTCCCTCTGACTAGACTAGAAGGATGTCGACCCTTGTCGAAAATACTGGAAGGCTTCGGCTGGTTTTTTTCATCCAATGGACCTGTTCTTTTTTTATTGCTTGGAATTTCCGCTAGCTAGTCGAAGGGTCTTGTAGAATCTAGAACATATTAGTGAATAAACAACATGTTTAAAGGTTTTTTAATATGACTAATTTTTACGTAACAAATTGAATAACATCGGACTTATCCTTGAGGTAAACCATTGTTGAGTTTATTTTTGTTTTTTCCGTGGTTATTACCGTGGATCACTTGGAAGTGTCTATGAGAAACCATGTTGTTTATCAGTCGCAGTGTTTTATAACAAGAGATCTATTTCGCCAGCTTGTATAGGAGCCCTTCTGGACTGTATCGTAGGCAGCTGTCAGGTCCACGAAAACGACGGTTCTTTTTTTTTGTCAATATGTATAGTCAGGCTCAGAACTTAATCTTTACAGTCTGCTTACTTTAGGTCTGAAGCCTGCTTTTTCAAATGGAATATTTTCCAGAATTTATGTGCCTATTCTGTTAAGAAGTTGTTCTAAAAGTTTATGACAGCAGCTAAGATGTGCTACAGGACTTTAGTTAGATAGTATAGCAATTATTTACTCACTTTAAAAGCTTTTAGCAATAGTTCATATGTTAGCATGTGCCAGTAAAATGTGATTACCCATTTCTTTGTCTTTTTTCTGCAGTGGAGTTTTTCTGTTTATTTATTGATTTATTTGAGTTTTTAAGTTCAATTAATAACTTGTTTTCAAAGCCAAAAACAAGAATGCCTATTTGATCTGTCCCTTTATTTTGAGACTTTATTTTAATAAGATATTTATTTTGATAAGAATATATCTAAGCATCAATATAATATGTAACGACGCGCGACGTATCAAGATTGAAAAGTGTCATACAATTTCCAATAAAAAATGTCTTGTCGCACCTAAATCTGCTAAAATAAACGAACGCTTCATTTATTTTTTTGCGTTCAGTTTCTCCTACTGATATTACCGATTTACCTTGCAATATAGTTGTAGTACCTCAAATTTTTAATCACAGAAAAGCTTTGGCTTCCTTTTTCTGGCATTAAAATTACGTCTGTTTCTATTCCTATTATCTCTAGAACTTGTTAGTTTGTAACTAGGTCAATCCAGAAGATCTTGCATTTTTGTCTATAAAACCACATTTCGAAACATGCTTTTTTATTGAGAGCCCAATCTTTCCATAGAGGATGATTTTAATTCTCAGGATAGGAGATAGTTCTGTTAATGTGAACATTTTATTCATTATTATAAAAACTAATCACTTTTTCTATATCTAGACATGATTTTTTGTTTGTACTGAAGATGTTTGTAATATGTAACCTGCCCGATAGTATTTCATTTTAATGTATAATTGATCTGTAGAGTTGAGTTGTTATTTACATTTATGTTGAAACGATATTTTGTAGTAATTTGTGTTACTGTATTCACTAGTGCCTGATGATTATTTTTACCCAACAACGCCTTAAATAATTTGTTTACTTAACTGATTAACAATATCTGTTAATCAGTATCATTTTTTATGGAAACATTAAGGGGGGTAGGGTATTTTTTGTTTTTTTTATTTTTTATTCTCTTATATATAGTATATAGTGTAACGCTTCAAGAGTATTCAGTTCAAATTTCAGAGTGATCGAAGCAACATTGATGGAGTTATAGGCATTTACAAGTGAGTGAGTGAGGTGAGTAGGTGAGGTGAGTGAATGAGATAGAGAGTGGGGTGAGTCAGTAAGGTGAGTGACCATTCGTTGGTACGATATACTTTAGGAGAGAGAGCAGATAGAGCTGATTAACTGGCAATACAGCAAATCTAACTTAAAACGAGTCGTATTACAATCTATTTAAGTGTACTAACGATAATTCAATAAGACGACTTTTGTCATGCTTCTCACTGCCAGTTCCACCAATGTGATTTAAGTGAAAATTTTATCTTAAGAAATGATTTTTACCATTTGAAATCCGTTGAGTTTCGTTCCACCAATTAAAAAAATTAACTTAAATACAAATATTTTTGCTTAAGCTCAAGTCAGCTACAATGACGAGTTAAGCAAACATTTTAAGTTAGAGCATGTATTGAAATTCATCTTCTGTCATATATTGACATATGAGTGAGATTAAATTTCTCTTGTCGACACTCTGTTAGGTTTCGCCTTTTTTCGATCTAATTTGATTTTTAAATTTCTATTTTGTGTAAATTCTACCGTAGTATATAGTATACAGTAGTATTTAGTATTAGAATAGTTAATAGGGTATATTATAAGGTTTACGTAGGAGATGTTTTTGTGTTAAAAGAATTTTCATTTTCATAACTATTCTGCATGCTGACAAAACAAAACTATTACCTATTTTTAAAACTACTATTACTATAAATTACTATTTTTTAACCCTAAATTTTAAATAATTATATTTATTTTAAACTAGCAACATAATTAATTCGCAAAATACACGAGAACGATCACCATTTACAATAAAAATTGAAATCACAAGAAAGCATCTGAAATGACACAAATAATCTTCTTTTTTTGTTGTTTCTTCATTAATAATAAGTCAACTGATTAAGAATTTTTGACAATATTGGAAAATTAGTATCTTTAATAATTTAAGTTTTTTCTTGGTTAAGTAAAGTGAAAATTGGTACGGTGGAATACAAATTTCAACTAATAAATTTTTTTGACTAAGCAAAACTTACGTAAGTGTTTACTTAGATCACGTTGGTGGAACTGGACGTCAATTATTTATGTCGAAGAGATAAATAAGTCAAGGACATTGTTTTGAAAAATTATTTATAGCTTACAATGAATCGTGTATTTTCGATTATTAATTGATAGAAACTTTATGAACAAGGCTCAAATTAAAGAATCGATTAAAATCTGGTTAAGCTTCAATAATACTAATTTAATATTGTGATGAATAAACACCCATGAAAACGAAAACCATCAAATCAAAAATATAAAGGCAAATATCCAACTTATAAAACCTGAAGTTATGTTATAGAAGTTATGTTTCTAATATATTCTTTTTTTAGCACTCAGACTGCAGTTTACCTTCCCTCAATAGTCCATGCGATTCCCTAATAGACGATGAGCACACGTCATCGTTTATGAACCTCCACATGGATGAGGACATCGAATTATTGAAACCTCCATACATCCCCATGAACATAACTGACGATCTGCCGATGTTGGTATCGAATGATCTAATGTGGAGCACAAGCGACAAAAAGACGCAGCATTCCGAAAGTAATTCGAGTTTAGCTCAATTATTATCAAACTCGTTAAACAAACGCCAATTAAAACAGAGCGACCACGGGGGAGGAATATTGTGTAAACAAGAAGTTGATGACGTCTATAATATAAAAAGTAAGTAAAGTTTATTATATATGTGAAGCAACATAGGTAACATTGTATTGCTATTATAATATATTGCTATATAAGATCTTTGCTCCCACCAAGGATAGTAGTCTCCTTCATCGCGGTGAGGCTCCATTCTATATTGCGTTTCGAGGCCGCGTCATTACAAAAAGTGGTTATACAAGCAATCAATTTGTAATAAAGTTTTTAGAAGCGTGTTTACAATATTCAAGACAAAAAGAATGTACAGTACAAATGCGCTGACCCGCAAAAGTATCTGGACACTTGAAATTCCATAGTTTTCTCCATTTAGTTTTGTTCAATTGCCCTGTATCACTTGTATTTATCAAAATATAAATTTCAACATTTATTCGTTTGTTATTTTAAACAGTTCTTCTTCTTCTTTTAGTGCCGCCTCCTTAATGAAGGTTGGCTATAACAATTGCAAATTCGTCTCTATCTTCTGTTTTTCTTAAGAGCGTCTAATGTTTTTCAGCCAGGATACCAGGGCGGGCCCCTTTTTCCTTCGATTTTTCCCTTCATAATAATCTGCAACAACTCGTACTTATCATTTTAAGTATGTGCCCCAAATATGCTGTCTTTGGCCTTTTAATGGTGGTCTGAAATTCTCTGTCTCTTCCCATTCTGTACAATACCGTTTCGTTCGTAATATGATCATTGCATGGTATCTTCAAAATTCTCCTAAAAAGCCACATCTCAAAAGCTTCCAGTTTTCTCATTAAGTCAACATTAACAGTCCAGTCTTCGACACCATAAAGAAGAATAGAGTGGATATAACATTTTACCATCTAATATCAGATTTGCAGATTGAGTCTTTGGTTACTCAGAAATTTTATTAACTCATTTTCAAAAAGGCTGCTCTATACTTGAGACAATTTCTGATTTTGGATTTAGATCTTCCATAATCAAGACTCTTTCGACCGAAAGAATAATTTGTAATGGGGCCAGATCAAGTAGCATAAACTGATACTCTTTATAAGGATGGATGTTTCCATTCGATATATCGAAAATATGCTTGGCATTACGCGAATCATAATATCCGATGTTTTACAGAAGATTTCTAGAAACTGGTTCTTGCTCAAGAAGACCTGTACAGGGAAGACAAAGGTCAACAAACGATGTGAAAGATTGGTTTCTTAGACTCCAAGAGCGGACAGTTACTGCTACGGCTTTGACTAATCTGGTAGATGTTCATGGCACCATAGTTTCACCTGACACCGTTCGTCGAAGATTAACGAACAAAATTTATCATCTTATGTACCTACTACAGACCCTTTATTAGACGCATCTCATCGAATACAACGCTTGGCATTCTGTCATGCTAAAGCTGATTGAGATACGGAAGATTGGAGAAACTTGTTTACAGACGAATCTGGTTTTACAAGATATTTACCTGATCACCGTCAAAGAGTGTGGGGAAGGCCTGGAGAACGCTATATCCAATGTTGCTTAATTCCTAAAGTACAGTTTGTTGGTGGAGGTATAATGGTATGAGGCGGCATTTCTTTGGAAGCACATTCAGAGCTTGTTAATGTTAGGGGCAAGTGGCCGTAATGCTGATTGGTACATTAGGGAATGTCTAGAACACATGTTACCTTATATGCATTTTGTAGGTGAAAATTTTCTCCTAATGCAGGATAATGCTCGGCCGCACATAGCCAGGATAACAATGCAATGCTTTACATAATATTAGTATTCAGTTGCTAGCCTGGCCACCTAGAAGTCCAGACCTTCTGTCTAACCGATAGAGCATTTGTTGGACAACTTGATAACTGTAGTTAGGGAAAATTATGATGAGTTTGAAACTGTAGTTTTAAAACAGGCGGTAATTAACGAGTGGGTACAAGTACTGCAAAACGAGATTTTGGCTTGATTCAGTTTATGCTAGAAGGGATGAGAGCGGTTATTTGATTTCGAGGAAGAAATAGTCGATGTTAGTATCCATATTTTATGATTTTGATTTGAAAAATATCTTACTCATGAATAAAAAAATTGTAAATTTTTATTTGTTGTTACATTAGTTAATATTTTGGAATTTATTTTTTATTTTATGGTTTGTTACTAAATATAGAATAAAAATAATTGATTAAAACTGAAGTTTTACTAATACTTCTTATTTTACTTAAAATAAACTTATTGTCCGATTATTTTTGTGGATCCGTGTACATGTAGCACTTTTAAAACAGTAGAATGATTTAGTAAAAATATATTTTAAAAGTAATTCATGAAATTTATTTTAAAAATATTAATTTAGATAGCATAAACTGTTTTTAGATTGAGTTTGACCTGGTAAAGTTTTAAAGACAAGTTTAAGAATGTAACACTACCAAAAACAATGAAGTTTTTCCGAAAACAATGGAGTTTCCCAGAAAAACGGAGTTTTCTTGAAATTGAAGATATCGAAGCGACTATAATAGTTAATTGTTCATTACAAAATTATTCGCGGAGACATTCGTGAAAATATGGTGGTGTACCATTAGATAATACAGAAAGCCCCGATTATAATGAAATTACAGCCAGTTTCTGTTTATATTGTTCTGAAGCTATTTTCTTGTGGCATTGTAAATTAATTACTATTAAACTGGGAATAAGCCACAATTAAAGATAAAAATACGTTTATTGACGTTTCAATTTCCACTTCGGAAATCGTTCTCAAAATACAAACAGTAAATTAAACAAATTTTGTTTTTTGTTACATAGTGAAAAATTCTTCTAATAATTTAGTTTTATCTCACTCATTTATGTTGACAATTCAGACATACATTATGCATTTTAACGTAGACGACTTTAAAATGATATTGCCAATATTGTTGAGTTGCGCTCCTGGGACGACTTTACTTATAAGATAGTTCATTCGATTATATGAAATCAACTTTAACTTGAGAATATCCGTCAGAAAAAAATCATAGCATGTAATTCGTCTTTAAAAAGACAAACACATGACATGATGACAGTAAAATTCTCCATGTTAGTAAATTATGAGGGAAAACCAGGAAAAAAACCTCATAATACTATCCCGACATTGTAAGTATTTGTTCGTGAATTTAGTTTACCTTCAACAATCATCAAAATTCTGATTTTATATGTTACGTTATTTAAAAAACATAAATGATGTATCCTCTATATGTTACTGACTTACTAATACTGGTATTTTCTTATTAATAACTTCCTCTTTCAATATTGGTAACCAGATCCTACTACATTCTGCCGAGGAATTTGCGACACAATTGGCCTCATTTAGCATAATTAGAGCCACTTCTTTGATTTTTCTTTTTTTACCATCCGTTTCTTTTAGGACTACATTTGAATTATTCCATTGAACCCTATGTTCATTATCCCATGCGTGTTTACAGATTTGAGATCTATCAAATTCTTTATTTTTAATATAAGATTGATGTTCACTTATTCTAACATTTAATGGCCTTGATGATTCACCTAAATAAAACTGATCGCATTCACAAGGTATTTTATAAATGCAATTCTTTGTCCTTTCTTGTTCATTGTTAGGTTTGGTTTTGGACAAAATAGATCTCAACGTGTTTGTTGTTTTGAATGTTGTTGAAATGTTGAATTTATTTCCTATCCTTTTAAGTTTTTCTGATAGTCCTTTTATGTACGGTATTGTTATTTTCCTTATATTATTCCTTGTGTATGCTGTAGGATCTCGTTCTAAGTTGTTCTGTTCTATTCGATCGATTGTTGAAAATTCCTTATTTATAAACGATAAAGGATAATCATTTTTTAATAAAACAGATGTTAACACATGTTTCTCCTCCAAGAACGAATTTTCATTGGAACAAGTAATTTTGGCTCTATCGTATAAGGATTTAATTATTCCCTTTTTAACAATATTGTGATTTGATTTGAAATTTAAATATCTATTGGTGTGTGTTGGTTTTCTATACACCTGAGTTTCATATCCAGTATCGTTCTTAGAGATTAAAACATCCAGGAAAGGTAGCGTGTTATTATATTCCTTTTCCATGGTAAATGTTATTGTCTCTTCTTTATCGTTTATATCATTTAGGAATGTGTCCAACAACTCTGATCCATGAGGCCATATTGAGAATACGTCATCTACATACCTCCACCATACTGTGGCTTTGAAATTTTGTTTAGAAATGATATTTGTTTCAAAGTCTTCCATAAATATATCGGCTAAGAATGGAGATAAACTAGAGCCCATTGCTAGACCAAAATTTTGTTTATAGAATTCATTATTTAGTTGAAAATAAGTATTATCAGTACATAATGCTAATAACTCCATTATAGCCGATATGTTTAGTCTTGTTCTAGTTGCCAATGAATCATCACTCTCTAATTTTGTCTTGACTATACTTAAAGTCTTATTTAATGGCACATTCGTAAATAAACTATTTATGTCAAAACTTACCAAAGTATGATTTGAATTAAATTCAATATTTGATAATTTATTTAAAAAATGTTGTGTATTTTTTATGAATGTGTCATTTTTATTTGTAAATGGTTTTGTCGTCCCAGGAGCGCAACTCAACAATATTGGCAATATCATTTTAAAGTCGTCTACTTTAAAATGCATAATGTATGTCTGAATTGTCAATATAAATGAGTCAGATAAAATTAAATTATTAGAAGAATTTTTTCACTATGTAACAAAAAACAAAATTTGTTTAATTTACTGTTTGTATTTTGAGAACGATTTCCGAAGTGGAAATTGAAACGTCAATAAACGTATTTTTATCTTTAATTGTGGCTTATTCCCAGTTTAATAGTAATCAGTTTCTGTTTGTTGTATTCCGTTTGTGACATCGGTTTTTACAATAGATATGAGTTCTTAATGTTCTCTCATTATGAAGTAAAGATAAAATAAAGTAGCAAATTTACTTTCCCTGTTTCGTCTGTTACAAAAATGTCATGCAAACTCTTCCTAGCACCCAAACTAAAAATTATAATTTTTGGATCCCTCTTCCATGAAATATGTAAATATTTGACTTGTTTTTTATTCTATAATTATTTAACATTTCAAGTGAGAAATTAATTAATATTTATTCACTGGCAACTCATATTATAAATCACGTTTCGTTACAACTAAATATATATCTTTGGTTCATAAATCTGAATTCAGTTTGATCCAGATTTTAGTAATGCGTTTTATTTGCAATATTTTATTCAACTAGGTGTGTTTTTTAATATTTTAATTATGACATTTTTCGCCCTAAATACACATATTTATCTTTCCCGTAAATTTAGTACTCAAAACGTAAAATATTTATTTTTTTATATGTAGTTAGAAGGGCCTCAATCTCGTTTAAGAATTTAAATAAATTCGTAAACGAGAAAAGTATTTTACCTGTATCACCGCAAGGAAATTAAATACAGATAATGGAGGTTTTAAACAAATCCTTTCTCGGAATAAAAAGATTATATTATCGATAAGATCGAAATATGACTGATCTGAATTTCCGATGATAACCATGTTATCGTCGCTCTTCCTATTATAAAAATAAAAATAAATTCATAAGCCTCGTTAAATATTCATTTAAAAAAATTAATAAAATCCTTTATAAAAGGTATATAATCACAAAACGTTTTCGGAATCCATCTTCCATCATCGGTGCCCTAAAAAGAATATAACCACTTTAATTAAAAAGAACGTGAGATTTAAATTTTGACCAAGGTTAATACAAAATGTGGTTAATAATTACTAGTTGTACATGTATTGAGCCACTAAATATCTGGGTAAAAACCCGTTAAGAGTTATATGGTTAAATTCAATTTATATAATTTGATCTTATATATTAAGATGTTAAAGTTACCAGTGGATTTGGTAACATGGCAACGTACTTTGCTGGTCCCATCGAGCAAAAAGACAATAGAGGGAATGTAAAGGTAGTGGGGGCAAACATATTGTTAGACAGGAAGTGCGATCTTTAGAGGCCACATTAAACAAGGAAAGAGAGTCTCTCTCCTTGTTTGACATCAAATTTAGTGGGGTTATGTTATTGTTTGTCCCAAATGTCACACGAAATCTTATTTATATTGAAGTTTTTTAACAATTGTGTCGCATTTTAGACTCTTATCATTAATAATTAATTAAAACTTTCTCATCTAAGACACATTCTGAAAAATATTATATAGCTACTGTTGATAAGTGTCGGAAAATTTAAATTTGGCGCATTCGCATTTCCGGATATGTCCGCCATCAGAGGCCACTTTTTTGGTCTCCTTTTCATAAGGATTAGATTCCCTCTTTTGTCTTATTGCTCGATGGCTGGTCCTGAGACGACGTAGCTACGAGGACTTGATGATAGCAACTGATTGAAATGACAATATTGACATGTCAGGGCGGAAGTCCGAACAAAGCGATCAGTGTAACTCAATGTGTTAGTCTACTTAAGACAGAAGCCAGCTTTATTTAAAAATTGAATAAGTTAAAATTAAAATTAAAATAATGTAACAGTAGCAACCATCAATGTTGTAGTTCTAAATTGTAAATTTGTCCTGAATTTATGTTAACAACATGGAGAAAATTGTTTTATTGATCAATGTATGTGGAATGAATTGTGGTGAAAAATGAGGCAACCAACTATACATACGTCTAAAAGTGGTGTAAAATAAAGATTCTAATAATAGGTCCTTTATGTTTTTCAACATTTGGTACCTGGAAAATGGTACCAAATTTTATCCATATCGTTGGCATAACGAATTTTATCGATGATAGGATGAGATCCTGAAGGATTCATTTTAGGACACCAAGTTAGGACATCCGTCGACATATCGTTAAAAATAATTGTCTTTGCCATCTGATTCCAGTATATATATATATATATATATATATATATATATATATATATATATATATATATATATATATATATATATATATGAACTGATTTCTATTCCCTTTTCATCTATACCCCAAGTCATGCTTGTCATTAGCGATGGCACATCTATTTAAAATTTTCAAGACAAGAATTTCATCAAGAACAAGGCTTCTCTGTCGGTTCTGCTTATGTGGTTATTCCATTCTTTTTTTCTATTTTGTGTCCATTCATTTATACATTGTAGGTTACATTTTCTTCTAATGTGTTCACTTCTCTTTAGATCTCTCAGCATATTTCCTGTAATTCTTCTCATCACTGCCGTTTCCAGTAACCTTTGCATTGTGGCTGTGTTGGGTCTTGTTTCTCAGGTATATGTCATTATTGGTCTTACACTGGCTTTATAAATTCTTGGCTTTATAAATTCTTGACTTCATCTCTGTGTTAATGTGTCTGTTTCGCCATATAGTGTTATTAAGGCATCCTGCCAGTCTATTTGCTTTTTGTATTTGATCTCTAACTTCTGTGTCCAGGTCTCCATAGCTAGACAGTGTAATTCCCAGATATTTTATTTCCATTAATTGTTCAATACTGATGCCATCAATTTCTATTTTACATCTGGTTGGTTCTTTGCTGAATACTACTGTTTTAGTTTTCTGTGATGAGATTGGGATGTTAAATTCTTTTGCTCTTATGTTAAATCTGGGGACCAGTCTTTGTATACTATCTTCATCTATCTATTGGGCTATCTATATCACGTCGTCTGCGTAATAGAGTATTTTGATTTCTTTGTTTCCCATTATGTACCCGTTCCCTTTGTTAGCGCTTTTGATAATTTCATCCATGATCAAATAAACGAGCATGGGGCTCAATTACTCTCCTTGTCTTATTCCGCTGCCTATTTCTATAGGTTCTGTAACTTGTCCATCTATTCTGACTTCCATTTTGTTCTTTTGGTAGATGTTTTCGATAGTTTTTATAATATTCAGGGGAGCTTCTCTATTATACAGAAGATGGATTACATCTCTGAATCTTACTCTGTCAAACGCTTTCTTTAGGTCAATCAGAAACAGAAATGCTGGTCTGTTATACTCTAGTGATTTCTTAGTAATTTGCTTTAAATAGTTATAAAGCAAAAAAGCAAATAAACCTTTATTAAAACCTAACATTTCTGAATACGTTGGCTATATAGTATTAAACATGTTTTATATTTTAAATGCACTGTTTTATTTTGTTACAAAAATGGTTAAAACATGATTCTAACTTTTTCTTCTTTTTTTTTCAGATATCCGAAAGTCGTGGAACGACCAAAACAATTTATCACCAAAATCGAGTGCCATCAACAAACTAGATCGTACCCAAAGTACGAAACGTTCAAATTGTACCATATACGACCATGTCAGTAAAAAAACCCGCAACGAACCCAAAGAAAAAATGTCATCCGAACTCCTACAGCAGTTAATATCAAATAATCACAATAGAGGGCGACAGAGGGATAAAAACAATTGGTTGCTGAAGAGCGGTTCACAAAAAGCAGCGTGTATATCGCAACCGAGCGATAGCGTTTTAATGAACCTGCTGGTAAGCGGTTTCGATATTAGAGCCGGTTACATATGTCTCGCTCCAAATAAATCGAAAAGATAGAGAGAACAAGCCTCGAATTTGATTGTGCGCTGTTAAAATTGGATGTTACCGCTACGAAATGGTGTATTAACGGAATTAAGTTTCTGTGGTCGGAAACTGAAAGGGAAATGTCACTTTGCGGGAGTGTGAATAGAGTTATTTTTTTTACAAATCCGAAATATTAAATACAAAGATTTTCGTTAATAAATGTTTTGAATACTGATTTGTTGTTTTTCTTTATTTGTCCTAACCATCGTAAAGATTTATAATGGTATTTTCGATGACATACTTTTCAAATAATAAAGTTGCTGTTTTACACACACAAGTTTCTTCACAAATATTTAAAAAATTATTATTATTATTATGACTATTTATAGACGTTTGAACGGTTTATTATAGGCGTACTTTACTCAGAAAAGTTCCGCGTTTCAGTCTGACTATCCTCAATGAAATATCAAATGGTTACCAATGTGGAACTTTTTTTTTATTGTCTTACTTACCACTTACTAATTGCAAGTTTTGGATTAAGATACTATGCAAAATCATGTGTTTTTTAAATTCTTTTAAATGCATTTAAACTACAAATGTGAAACGGAGGAAATTTTTTATTGTTTGTTTTTTTTCTTTTTTCTTTTAAATATTAGAATGATCTTTATTTTCTGTTTACAATCAATCTTTGTGTTTAATTGTTAATTAGATTGAAAAGATCATAATTATCTTTGGTATACAGGAGAATATTTGTTCTCAATATCAACCTTTGTCCCAATTCATTTTCTTTATCAGTAAAGGGGCTATGACAGGAAGGGGCCACAATAATACTTTTTCCCTAGATGTGGGGCATTTTAACGTAAAAGAGGGGTCATTTTGATGCAAAAACGAGTCATTTTGACGTAATATTCCCTAGATCTAGCGAAATTTGAAAACAATTAATGTTCATTCTGCACATTGTTGGCACTTTTTGTGGTGGGGGTGCAATAGTTTGTCGTATCGTGACGTATGAAACGTCGATGTAAAGAGGAGGGGATAATGGATATGTTGAGACAGAAAAAACAAACATGGTGGCATTGCTAAAAGGGCATTACATCATATCTCCGTTTTTATTGATCTTATGCTGTGTTAACTTCCCTAATTAGATTTCACAAGTTTATATCTTAGATTATACCAGTATTAATTATTTTCACATACATCTCTTGTCTAGCTGTTTACTTTTTGATCTCCCTCCCCTACTCTTTTCCGAAAATTGAACTCATTCTTCCTATTATCTTAATACATGCTCTCTAATCTTGACATCAATTGGTACCCCACCAAGCCGTAACTCTTTTAGTTTCTATAAGATCTTTAACTGATTTGAAATTGTTTCTCATTTTCATTTTCTTATTTAGTTCTTACATTAAATATACAATCTTCATCCATTGCGCTGTAATGTAGGAAATAACAGGGGGTACTGTAAGATTTTAAGGTGGCTATCGAGATTTTTTTTGGACTTAGATACTTATGGTGAACAAAAAAATGTGCAAAATAATCTTCTAATGGTTTCAGTTTTATGAAAACATTCCTTTAAACGAAGGGGTTTTAAAATGCAGATATTTTAAATGCTTTCCACATTAATTGTTAATTTTAATGTGTTACCTATGGCAACCGCTTATTGTCTTTTACAGCAATTCAAACAAACCATATCTTTTAAACCATTTTAGAGGTAATGAAATAGTAAGTGCGCTAGTCTGCTGAATAGCACATAATACTTAAACTTAACAATAACTACCACCTCAGATATAAAGCAGTAAATAAATGCAGGCGAAGCGATCCCTTCCGATAGTATCCCCGGTCTGATAAGTCTAGTAGCTTGAGGCGAAAATGCGCCATTTCATGCACCTCACCATAAAATACGTTTACTGTAAAACTTCCTGTCGGTTTGTCTTTCCGAAAATCATGTGTGATAATTAAAATCGTAATAATTCAATACTTTTTTCTTTTTATCTACTCTGCTTAGTTGTATCACGTATAGATATCTAATTAGCTAGTTGACCTATAGAAAAACATTACAAGACTTTTCCCATTTATATTGCTAAGACATATTGTTAAAAAAGTTAAAAATTTATTTTATACATACATGAATAATATTCAGACAAAATTAGCATCAATAATGATTCTATGCATTTACTAAGCAAATAAAATAAGTAAACAGAGCTGTGTCAAAATGTACTGCTTTACAGTGTAAACCCAAAGTGAATTTAATGCAATAAGTTTTTTGAAGTCAATATAATAATAAAACTACTTTATTGTTGTTTATTGCAAATAGTCCACTGATTAAGAAAGTAAGAAACTGCTGTGAGCTATAAAACTAGGTGTTTTATGTGAAAATATCTCTTTCGATACAAAATTCAAAATTTTAACTATACAATGGTGTATGAAAAAAGTTTTTCATCAGAATGTCTCCATTTATTAGATTTATTATTTGGATCTCGATACAAAGTATTCCGAAAATACCATTAATGTTTCCTTGCGATTTTAGGACTAAAATAAGGAAACCAACAGTTTGAGTGACAATGTATTTACATAATTACACTCTTAAAACCGTTATTGTAAAAATATCACCCTACTGTACCCATTCCTAATCTTCCCACGATATGGAATAGTATATTTCTAACAAAATCGGTGTCACGTCATTATTTACATAGATTAGATGAATCTTACTGAAGCACGAAGAAGACCTTTAGAATAAAAAAACTTAGAATGAAGTACAAACTTTTAGTGTAACTGGTATATTTGTAAAATAATGAAAATATCAAAAAGGTATACAATTTTTAAAACGTTTTCAGTCCTATCAGACCATCATCAGTGAAACCTGAAAGTAAGTAATCTCACTTTAATTTAATGAAAAAAAAATGGGTAAAGTTTTGACTGTTAATCTATAACCTTTTAAAGGTTTTAATCTAAAGGTTTTTATACGTTTTGAAAGTGGCTTTTTGCAAATGCCCAAGTAAGTAATAATACCACTACATGTTTTTAGATTGACGGTCAAGCTTTTCCCCCTTTTGTTCATTAAATTTAAGTAGGTGTACGTAAATAATGAAATAATTGTCGATATATCTGTAACATAACCTTAAAACTTTTTGTCATAAACAAGATAGGAACTTTGCCGGCAACTTACTTTAAAAATTAAAAAAAAAATAGATAACTGGTTGATGAGGATTTTATGGTGACTAAACTACCTACAACATCAAAGGATCTTCTTCTTTTTGTGCCACTTCTATCGGAGATTTCAAATTTATCAAGACTATTCTGACCTTGTTTACGGCTGACCTAAAGAGTTCATTAGTGGTGCAGCCAAACCACTCTCTCAAATTCCGCAACCATGACATTCTTCTACGGCCTGGATTCCGTTTTCCTTCTATTTTTCCCTGCATTATATTTTGAAGTAATGCGTATTTATGTCCTCTCATCAGGTGACCAAAATATTCGAGTTTTCTTCGCTTTAGCGTTAACAAAATCTCTGGGTCTTTTCCTATTCTTCGTATTACTTCACAGTTTGTTATTCTTTCAACCCAACTAATCTTCAGCATTCGACGGTAGCACCACATCTCGAAACTTTCAATATTTTTCATGTTGTTCTGTTTGAGAGTCCAGGCCTCTACACCGTATAATAGCGTGTTAAATACATAGCCTCTCAGCATTCTTAATCGTAGAGGGATGCTTATATTTCCGTTGCAGAAGAATTTTCTCATCTTTATGAAGGTGGCCCTGGCACCTGGCAATTTCGATACGTCTTTTTATTTCACTGTTTTGGTCTCCAGTTTCGTTTATTAAAGTTCCCAAGTATTTTTAATTTGATACTTTTTCAACTTGAGTGCCGTTTATACTAATATACGCTGGTTGTGTCATGTTTTTACTGAAGACCATATACTTGGTTTTTTTAATATTGATATTTATACCATAATTGTTACAAGCAATATTTATGTCTGTTAGTAATCTTTGTAATTCTTCTACTGTTCTTGCAACTAGTACAGTGTCGTCCGCGTATCGAATATTATTTACAATCTCTCCATTAATTACGATTCCTCCGTTTGCTTGTAAAAGGGCTTCCTGACAGATGCTTTCACTATATACATTAAATAACAGAGGTGACAAAATGTAACCCTGTCGTACTCCTCTACGTATTTCTATTGCTTGTGATGTTTCAGTTTCTATTTTGATGTTAGCTTTCTGATTCCAATATAGATTGAGAATTATTCGCAGATCTTTATTATCTATGTCCTTCCTTTCAAGAATCTCTCTAAGCTTATCATGGCGTACTCTGTCAAACGCTTTTTTAAAATCGATAAAACACGTATGTACCTCCTGATTAACGTCTAGGCATCTTTGTGTGAGAACATTCAAACCGAAGAGAGTTTCTCGAGCACCAAGCCCTTTTCTGAACCCCATCTGTGTATTACTAATATCTGACTCCAACTTTTGATAAACTCGGTTGTGGATGATTTTTAGAAATATCTTTAGTAGGTGGCTCATTAAAGATATTGTTCGATGTTCTGAACATTCTTTAGCATTAGATTTCTTTGGCAGTGTAACGAATGTAGACAACAGCCACTCTTGAGTTATAATGCCAGTATTGTAAATTGTATTAAATAAGTGCAATATTATACCTATTGATTCATCATTCAAGAGCTTTAGCAATTCGGTAGGAACCTCATCCGGTCCATTTGCCTTCCCAGTTTTGGAATTTTTAAGTGCCATTTCTACTTCACATTTTAGAATTTCAGGTCCCGTTTCGCCATATATCAGAACAATGTTATTTCTGTTGTCCTCAAATAATTCTCTTATGTATTCACTCCATCTATTAATTTTCTCTGTTAAATCTATAATAATCTTTCCATCTTTGTTCTTAAGCAAACTTATTTGACGTCTTCTTTGGGTTCCTGTAATTTCTCTTACTTTTTTATGTATATTGAACGTGTCATACT